TGAAAGACTCGCACCCGTTGAGTATTTACGTCGCTGCTTTTTCTTGTTTCGTCATACTTCGATTAACGGCGGTATTCTTTTGTTACGTTATAACCCATTACGTAACGCAATAAACAAAGAATGTGTATAACACTAAAGGTCTATGTAGATATCAATGTTGTCAAAATGGGCGAGATACGAGTACTAACGAAAGCGGACCACGGAGTAGTATAAAAAACACCCGCACAGGGGGAGGAGTTTTCGAAAAGAAACCAGAAAGGGTCGAACCGCCGGAAGGGGGGAGTTACATCCTATCTTGTACGGTGCTTCGTCGTTGGGCCGTCGTCGCCTCTTCTGCGGAATGTGGAGATGGTTTTGTGTATTGTGTGGCGAGGGGGGAGCCGTAACAATGAATACAATGAGGGGATATTGGGTAAAAGAAGAATAAACGCACAATGTCCTCTACTTTGTGTATGAATATTCTCTAGACTCCTCTTTTGGTTACATACTTACGTGCTAATTTAAGATAAATCTCGTAGTATCTTACCGGTACTGTCATTGCTTATGGGCTTGCGAAGTTATAATATTTTCGAACGATAATCATACGGTGTAAAATTTACCATCGAATGTAATATATTTATTACATTTATCATACTGGCCGTGTATAGTTACTCGAGATGGGAACACCAGCTGTACAAACCCAGACGCAGGCGGGGCACTGGGCAATGAGACGTTAATTCTACATAATCGTAATGGTTCTTCTATACAGGACGGTAAAAATAAGTTATATATAAAGGTAATGACTGTGTTTTATTTGTCTTATTATGCGATGCGACTCTTCTGGGTGTAGGATAACCCGGGGGTCGACCGCAAGCCTTGGGGAAAGTGTTGGGGGGAGTCCTCTATAATCGCAGGCGGCCTGTCTTTTCGTCACGCTCGCCGGCTCGTTCTTGTCTCTCTTGCTGTATTCTTATAAATAACGAATTATTTACTGAACGTTATCTTTAGCTTGCGCTACTTCAGTTAGGGGTCTACATTAGTCTGTTAAGGTTTAATTCTTCGCGTGCTTCTCGGGTTCTTCGCTTCAGGTGCGGGAAGGAATTCCGAGGTCAGGGGAGAAATCTCTTCGGGAGTTTATTTGGTCTTTACTCCAATAGATACCTATGGTTTCCTGAAGTTCAGCCCTGGTAGTCTGACCCTTCAATAGGTTCGTGTAATTCGTTGCTTTTCTTCTGTTGACTCGACAGGAGGAAGAGCCAATCGGTATGTTATGGAGCTTATTCAAGGTTCTTAGTGTTTGCTATGAGAAAGATCCAATGAGAGCTACTTCGCCGGCAATACATTAAGTTGATCGGTGGTTATTTAGTGGTTCTTTATATCTTAATATTTCGAATTAATATCAAACCAGACAGGTAAATAAAGTATTGTGTCGCCCACTGGAGAGTAGAATTACACATATTTAATCTTCGGCTAAAATAATTTTGGCGCCAAAAATCAATATCGTAGGAAGTTAGATATAGTAATGGACTGTTATACGTATGATGAATTTATGTCTTAGATGTAGCGTTTGAGATTGGGATAAATGTTGACAACTGTATCTACTTGTTTCTATAATTCTGACAGTAACCTCTTCTTAGCTCTAGTCATAAGTTCAAGACACCCTACCTTCTGCGAACCTCCGCACGAACCTGTCCGGACGCATGTCATCGACCGGACCCTGCTATGCCGCTCGAGCGAAAACAGGTAGTTATTTGCCAGGGAAACCGAGGTACACACTTACGTCACGTATAGCTTGGTAACAGGGCATGAAGCCCATGTTCTCCTTTAAATAATTATTAATGATATAGTATTTGGAAAGTTTAGTCAGAGGGATGTAAAATTTGTAGACGTGAAGATAAAAGACTTGTGAAATTTGTCGTGACACAACAAATAAATGGTACTCTCTGTTCTGGCTCTTCATTTTTTTCGAGATAGCACTGTGTTATACAATACATTTCCCGAGTCGAATCCGGTGACGGATTAATTTGTAGGTATATTAGTGTCGTCGTACTTTATAAATCTTTGATTCGAATAACTTATTCTCCCCACTCATGTTACTCAGTCCTTTCGCGGGTTAAAAAGTCACTTTTCGTCTACATTAGGTATTACTAACTCCTCCAGAGATAGTCAAGAACTAGTGTTGTATCGTATGTAACTCTCTCGTATATCTTAGATGATCATTAACCATGTTTAAGAAACCTCCGACACCTTTATGAAATAAACTAAGTTACATAGAGCGTAATAGTAGATATTCGTAAAACCTTATTCAAAGGACATTCTAGATGCGTCTCTGGTACCGTTTTAGTGTATTATGTACACAGCATGACCTCGTGAGAATACGCACGTATCCCGGGACCCGTTACGATAGGCCATGCGGGAGATTTTATTATGGTTTGTTTAGATGTCCTTTAGTCCAGGCCACTGAGCGCGTCAGGTTACGAGGACAGCGATTCCAGAGTCGTCATGTCACTCCATTATATTTATATCGCATTGCGCTGGTCATTTGGGGAAAGTGATGGTTAACGCAGACTATTATAGGGTTTACTATTATTGGATCGCATTGTGTTACTTTGTGCAAGGTATCAATCGCTCCCGTAGATTCAGGTCGTGATGGTCGGGTGGTGTGTGTGGCGGACCCAATTAGCTATTTAAAACGCCGCAGCGAGAGAGTTATCAAGGTCTCCTCCGGGGGTGAGAATGCATGTAACATGAGGAGATCTTTCATTTTTTATGTCCGTTAATTCTCGTGAATCCCGAGCGTGTCGAATCAATTGTTGAATGAGGAGCTTGGTAATAATAGTATGACTATAATAGCCAAGGAGTAAATACTATCCATCACCATACTGCGGCTATTTTACCGAAAGCGGTCAAAGTGGGTAAAGCAATATTTTATGAAATGACTCCCTTGA